GAACTACAGAAAGAACAAATTGCTGAAGGTTATTTTTTTTTTTCCTCCAGAATTTTGTTTGACAGGAAGAAACCTTAAAGGTTATCAAGAAAGTGGGGGGTGGAAATGAAATGTTATTATTCCACAAATGGATTTAAGCAGGGCATAACTCATAAGACTGATTTTGCTCTACCTATTATATTAGGTGAGGGAATCAAAGCTGTGTAACATTGCAGGAAAAAATATATCCAGTCCTCTCACCACTTCTCTTTGCTATGGTTTCTTCTTAGATGAGAGAAAAAGACTTTCAAGTTTAAGGATTAATTTCATTTTAGTCAAAGTAATCCATGAAAGTGAAGCAAGGAGTGAAAGCTCTTTGATTCAGTGAATCAGGGGGGGGGTCTTCTGTTTTTCTTTCTTTCTCTGCAACCGACTCACCTGGAATTCTGTGTTGCAAAATCATGCCATCCTGGTAGCTCTCCCAAAAGTGCTTTTCTAAGAAGCAACTGGACCTTCTGGTTTTTCTTTGAAGGCGTTTTGCTTCTCATCCAAGAAGCTTCTTCAGCTCTGACTGGATGGTGGGGAACGGAAGGATTGATACTCCTTGCAGACAGCTGGTCATTTGCATCCTTTTAGATGGATGTTGAGGCCACTTGGAGGTTTATCTGTGTCCTGAGGGTCACCTGAGCAGTGCAAATGGTTGTGGAGCCTTCTTGGAACTGGTGAAAGGCATGTGTTGTGGGGCTGTGTTTGCACTACTCAGGTGACCCTGAGGATACATATAAACTCACAAATGGCCTCAATGATCCTCTAAAAGGACGCAAATGACCAGCTGTTTGCAAGGAATATAAATCCTTCCATTCCCCACCAACCAGTCAGAGCTGAAGAAGCTTTTTGAATGAGAAGAGAAACGTCTTCAAAATGAAACAAGAAAGTCCAGCTGAAAAAAGCTCCTTTGGGAAAACCATGACCTGGGTGACTGAGAATCTCCGTAGACATTCTTATGGAAGCATTAAGGCCAGGGCTAGGGTGCCTCCAATCTTGGATATGCCTTCCCCAATTTTATGCAACTTTTATCCATACTCTGCATCCTCAATAGCAAATCCACGTAATATCCAGGCAGTTCCACTGAATATACTGCTTTAATATTTCCCACTTTTAAAATTCAGGCTATGATTTAACTCAGTGCCTTTATTGGCTGTCATCCTATGGATAGAAATGGGTACTGGTGCTTCTTTGTTTGTTAATTAACATTTAGAATGTTTTTTTCTTTCTTTCCCCAAGTGGGTTTGTGCATGAAGTGTTGATGAACCACAATATAACTTGATTATTTTCAGGGCCACTCTCCTATTTTTTTAACAGGCCATCTTGTTGCCTGGCTCACCAAAAGCGAATTCTGTGACATCTTAGACATCAGGAGGGGAAGAGAAATATAAGTAGGAGGCCCACGTCCATTTTTAAACCAGAGACGTATTCAACGAGGAAGCATGTGAATTTTTTAAAAAAACTTTTTTTTCCTTGCACGTATTTATCATAACCTACATATTTATTTAGCATAATTAAATCTACAGAGGCATAATCCATATGTAGAAGTGCAGCGCAACGAGAAAATTGTTAGCCCAGGGGTGAATCTCATGAACTGGTAAGCAGTCAATATGGACAATGCCCTATTGTTAAAAAGCTTGTGTTTAAGGATTAAAGAATAAATTAATTGCTAAAGATGTTTGATGAAAGAACTGTTTATTATAGATGCCAGACCTGAGAAGAAGACTCAGGGCAAAGTGATATCCTTTTATTAAAAATTAATTACAATACGACCAAACCAAGGATGTAATTTTATTCCTTCATATTATCAGCAAGACAATGGTTTCTTTTCTTTGCAATGCTTGGGGGATTATTTATCTCCATTAAACAATTGCCTATATTATTTATGGACTCCTCAAAACCACTGGTTGGACAGACTTTTAAAACTTTCATCCATCATATTTTGTATTAAAAAAAAAAAAAAAAAAGCCTGCATGGAAAGGGAGAAAAATAAGACATCCAAATGTTAACGAAGAAAAAAGAAGAAAAAAACGTGCATCTCCTAACATTGTGAATTGTGGGAGAGAAAATTTACTTTCTCAATAATCTGCCAGATGTCACTCTTTCCTTACAGCGAAGCCTGAAATGGCACCAGCAATTAGCAGAGTAGCAAAAGCCAACCTGGTGCCAAAAGAGATTATTGACGGCAATCAATTTCAAACTTGCCTTTTAGTCATTTGCTCAAGTTAGACTCTTGCTGTTGTTGTTGTTTTTTTTACATAAACTGCTTGAAGAGAGGTCTACAAGGTTGTGTTGTTAACAGCTTGAAAAGTAATTCACTTTATTGAAAAGAGATCAAAATGTTCATTGACCTTCAGGTCATTGTTGATCCAACTCAAAATGGTTTAGGAACAATTCTTGGTTTTCTGCCCTTTGACTCTCAATTAACAAAGGAAGAAGGAACATTAAGATGCTCTGTTTTAAGATCTTGAGGACAAGGGAGAAAGAGTGTGTACTCTAGTTGTGGTAGTGAGTCATCAATTCCCTTGCATGATTTTGGCATCCCTGCCAAGGCACAAACAACCAGATCCACACATGTAGAATTCAACCTGGCTACTTCATTGTTCTCTGCCTATAATATAGGAATCTCTCCAGACCCTCAGTTTTGGCCTGGGAAAGGCCAGCTAAGGATCGAGGGGTGAGAGGGGTCAGTCCTTGCCCTCTTGTGTCTACACAACAAGTTTAAGGCTTGAGCCCTCATCCCAACTGGGAGAATTGCTTTCCAATGCCCCCTCCCCTTCAGTTGGCTTTTGGAGAAAAAAAAAGACTTTCAAAACAGTTAAATACCGTATGTCTCTCTTGACTGTCATTTGTTACTTTTATGGTATTGATATTTAAACATTCCTCCTGCTGCCGTTTTTCATGGTGGAGAAATTTAACTTACTTTAAATTACGGCTTTTACTGCGGATGAGCCATGGCATCTGGCGTGCCCAAAGCTTGTTTCGTAAATCAATTAAACTGAGAACATTAATAAGCAAAACATCAAGGCATAGTATGGTCGGTATAATAGGTCCATCACTGAAATTAAATGGGGAGGTGGGGGGGTGAGATGGGGGTCAGATGGAAGGAATTATTTCTTTGCCCGACACATAATTCAAGGATGAGAAGGGTGGGCTTCCAAAGGAGGTCACAGCTGACAATTGGTATGGTTTGAAAAAGAGGTTGAGAAGAAATATGTAAGCTGAGATCCATCCACCCTCTTGGCTTCTGCGGGGGTCTTAAAGCCTGGCTCGGCCTGGTACCCCCATGTGGGCATGTCACACTGGAAGTGGCTGATGCATGGAGAGACGACTCCATCTTCACCCATGGGCATTTTGCTCCCTTCCTTGGCCGTCTTTGGTACTTTAAAAGTTAACTTGAGTGTTGTCTTGATGTTTTAATGTTTAATCTAGTGGTTTTTACTTTGCCGTAAGCCGCCCAGAGACACAGCTCTAGGGGAGATGGGCAGCGTATAAATTTCATAATAAATATAAGATAAATAAAATCTGGCTCTCTAGCCTGGATGGATAATAGTCCTGGAGCAACATTTAATTTGGGTACTTCACATGGAGCATCCTTCGTGGCCCCTTCAACTTCCCTGAATACTGGCATTTCTGACACTAAAGCAGAGGTCTTCAAACATGGTAGCTTTAAGACTTGTGGACTTCGACTCCCAGAATTCCTCCTCCAGCCATGTTAGCTCAAGAATTCTGGGAGTTGAAGTCCACAAGTCTTAAACTTGCCCAGTTTGAAGGCCCTCGCACTAAAGCATCTTCCAAACTATTGGAATCAAGATTCCAATCTCTTTATTGACCCAGCAGAAACTGGGGGTGGAGTGAAAAGAGGAATCACCCTAGAATCGCTACGTAGACACAAGCAAACTAAGTCCAACCTTCTTCGAATTCTCTGGACCTTTATTCTGTGGACCTTTAACTCCTAGCAGGTGCTGACGGTCAGTTGATAAGATTCCTGTGCATAGGCTTTTCAGCAGTAAGTCAATTTAATTGGACCTTCATTTGTGGACTTCATATTTCACACCTCCCTCAAACACACCCATACACAGAGTATTCTGGCTTTCCTTTTCTTCTTATAGTCATTCACTTTTTAGCCACCTCTCCGAATTCTGCAACTCTTAGAAAACTTTTTCTGTTTCTTTTCTAAGCCCCCCACCACCACAGCATGCATTGCCCCCTATGGAGTACTGTAAATGCTTTATTCCCACGGCCATAAACCGACTGTTCCCCAATGTTAATTAAGATCAGAAAATGAGCTACAGAATGCATTAGTGGTTATGTAATACAGACCATTAAAGCCTGCTTTATAAATGAGTGTCATTAAATTCTAAGTATAGAGGCTTTTCTTGGGTAGCCAGGAAAAAAAAGAAGAAGAGGAAGAAGAAAAGAAAGTTGAGAGATTACACATCACAATTTATGCACATTTTTTTTAAAAAAACAACAACTGGGTAAAGCAATTACCACAGCTATTTTACCAGGTGTAGCAGGCAAGTTGGAGCAAAACACTTTACAGTAATAGATTTCCAGATCTGGCTTCTTAGCCTGTGACTTCTCATTAAATAACAGGAGCAGAAGAGAGAGAAAAGTTTTTATATAAATTCTCCCCACCCGAATCCTTTCTCTTGTTTTATGAGATGGGTTCTAATATGACACCATTGTCAGGGTTTTGTTTTTTTTATATCTACTTGCAATCACTGGAGCAAAACAATCATTTCAGGCAATGAAATATTAGTACCTCTTGCCAAGCAGTCCAATTATACAGCAGAAATCCTGCCTTCTGGACAGAAAATATATATATATATTTCCCCTTTCTCCTTATATTGGAATGAGCCTCTAAAGCAGGGGTGTCTAACCCTGGAAACTCTAACACCTGTGGACTAAGCAAATAAATAAATAAATAGCTTCTGTGTCGCGCTCTCTTTGTCAAAATTACGGCTACTCACTGGTCACGTTCAGGTAAATCAATGGGCTCGTCTTGTTCTCTCCATTCTTTTCATTGACCGCTTGGACGTAGTAGTTCCCGGCATCCATCGCCAACGTTGCAAGAATGACCAACTGGTTCTCTAGGGTGATGGTTCTGTATTGAGGGGGGAAAAAAAATAAGAGCACTTTTTGATTTAGGGCAAGACACAGTTGAGCCGGGTCTGCTGCGAAATGAAAGTTGTTCAGGTGGCATTCATAAGCAAAACTTTAAAGAATGATGGTATATCTACGGGTGAAAATCAGAATGGAGGTTCTCAGTGACAGGAAAACTGGTAGCCTGGAAGTCCGGCATTCATACAAACTGGCCATCAACAGGCACATACAGATAAACAACATTTACTGACCATTCAAAAGAGACTGCCAAAAAGGAAACAAAATGACCCAAAAACCTCCTGACCAGCAATCAACACCCAGATAAGCACCAAGTTTAATATTAGACCAACAATCAAGAAGAAAACGATCAAGAAACTACCCAAGCTACAAACAAGCTAGCAGTAAAACAACAGGCTAACCAAGGAACCGCCAGGAACATTCCCATCAACCCTGACATAGCAAGACACTATAGTATATAAAATGAGAGCAATCCCCACTCACTCCTAACCCTGATGATGTTGCCTAGTTGGGTAACGAAACGTCTGCAAGAAAACAGCCAGGTTCAGAGGGCAACGAGAACCCCGCGAATATGGTGAGAGCTGAGAATTTTGAATAGGCCACCGAGTTGAATAGCAGCTGGAAATGGAGAACATGTGGATGGAGATCAGGTCAATTTTTCATCCATGTCTCTTTCATCCGTAACTTGAAGCCAAGTTGCTAAGATAAACAGTAAAATAACCACCTAATCCAATCTCAGATCTCTTTGATCTCATGTGAGGGTTGGAAGCAATATTATTTGACTTCCTAAAAGCTCACACTAAATAGTCATATGAAAAACTACTGCAAAATAGTGCTTGCTTTTTTAAAAAAAAAAAAAACCAAAGAAAGCTTTCCAAATCTCCGGGCTAAAAGAAACAACTCTTTTGAGCGGGAGGAATAATGCCAGGGAAAAAAAATATCAAAGGCAAGAGTCTCTCAAGAGGCTTTCCTTCTGTTTTTAGGATGTGTTTAGTTCTCTTAGTTTCAGATACCAAGAGGTGATGCAAGTTGTTAATTAACATGCTCAGCTGGGAAGACATGGAGGGAATAAAAAGTAAAGATGTTTACAAGTGACAGCTATAATTGTAGCTATAGTCATCAGGGATCACATCTTCTCAAAGACTGATGAAATATCTGATTCAAATGCACAAATTCCTCTTTTTGTAACAAAAGGTTCTGGGTACTTTCCTTCTAAAATGTCTCCAGCTATTTGTGCTCTGTATACCGCTTTCATTGTTTACACAATGCAGTTTTTAAATTCAAATTGAAACCGATCAATTAAAAAACAAACAACGAACACACAGAAGAGAATATTTATAGCTCAGGGTTGAACTGTGGGGGTCCTTGGTGCTCTCTGAGCTTGGTTGTTTTCTTGCAGACGTTTCATGACCCAACTAGGTAGCATCATCAGTGCTAGGAGGGAGTGGGTCTGGGTCTGTGAGCCAACGGTTGATGTTACCTATTTGGGTCATGAAAAGTCTGCAAGAAAACAACCCAGCTCAGAGAGCACCAAGAGCCCAACAAAACAAAACCTTTGGTGATGTCCAGTTCATATTTCCAAAGGAAAAAGGACAAAAATGGTTCAGAATTCAACATGGATCTTTGAAGTCTGAGCAAGTCACACCAATCCTGACCCCAAAAGATGAGTAAATATATAGAAATCCAGAAACTGAATATGAGATCTAAAGTCAAGAACGGATGTGAAAATAAGAAATAAGAAATGATGGCAGGAGATGAATTAAACTAATGGTACACTAAGCAACACTATTACAACGTTGAGAGCGATCAACCAGTGGAACAGCTTGTCTTCAGAAGTTGTGGGTGCCCCATCACTGAAGGTTTCAAAAAAAAACTGGTCAACCATTTATCTGAAATGGTATAGGGTCTCCTCCTGAAGCAGGGGTTTGGACTTAGAAGACCTCCAAGGTCCTTTCCAACTCTGTTATTCTGTGTTCTGCTTACAGAGAGGAGTGAAAGAGAGAGAGTTTTCAAGAGAGTCAAGCCATTGGATTTACCAGGACGGGCAACCCGGTTTGAATCAATTCATCTCATTAGTTGTAGTCCATCAGCTAATTGATCTAGTCATTAAAGTGATCGATGGATAAATCAGTAAGAAGGATTTCTGTTGAGTTGACCACTTTTCCATTTATCCTAGTAGATGATATGGGTTTATGGTGCAAATATGATCTCATTGTTTTGAAATTGTCCCATGCCATCGTAGACCAAGCCATCACTCTGGAGCAAGAAGCTAGTTGCCTCATGCTTTTATGATGTGGCCCTCTGAAAAAGGGGAAAGAAGAAGACTTCAAAATAAGATTTTAAAAAGTAGATAAAAAGTAAACAAAAGGAACATTGAATGACAACTTATGAGCAGCAGATGACAACTTGTGGACCACTTTTTAAAGTCATTTGGTACAAGCAGAACTAAGATGTGAAACTGCAAATAAAAAAGCCACTCACTGGGACAGAAAATATTATAAGTAGCTGCTTGTGTACATATATAGAATGATTACAAAAGAGGAACCTTAAAATAATGCCCTTCTTAGACTTCAATGGCTTCGTTAATCTTCATAGGAGATATATTCTTTTCCCCTAAGAGTATTAGGTTATTACTGTTTTTTTTCCCCCATAAATAATTTGTGTAAACTTATGTGGCTGGGGAATTATATCAAGGATGAAAAATTGGAAATACTTCCCAAAGGTCTACCCAGAATAGATTGCATTTGTTGCGTTACAATGAGATTTCCTTGGAAATACAAGCTTTCTTTCACCAAGGACAATGAGATTAATTTGTTGAAAAATGCTATAAAATTCAGATCATTTCTGATGGAACCTGTGCTTTCCACCCAAAAGTTTCAAGGCTGGGTTGTAACAGGTCTGGGATTTTGCAGTAAATGTATATATTTAGAAACCAAAACATGAAAATTAAGACCATGAACCAACCGTGTCCCTAACTTGACTCTTGAGGAAAACAACCGGAAGGCAACAGAAGCCTCTGTGAATTATTGGAAATGACCCCTGGAATGAAAAGGAAGCCAAGAGGGAAAGGAAGAACGATGGCCACCAGACAGGGAATTGTGTTTGCTTCCTGCCAGATGGTACTCTCGGTCTCACATACATTATTTAAAATAGTGTCAAAAACTCGGCCCGAAATAATAATATCTTTTGCATCCTCTTTAACATGAGAACTGTGCTTAAACAAAGCAGGAAAGCCAAAGCCAAGGACACACCTGTCTTCCTAAAACAAGCAATTCAGTCTGGCTGGGAGAGTGAAAAACAGAAGGCAAATATTCATGGCTTGCATCCAAGGATGCTGGGTCAGACATGCTATGGACCCTGGTGTGTGCATTCCCGTTTTAGCAGTCTTTTCAAGAGTTTATTCCTCAAAGTATAATGTGTACGAAAGTGTCTAATCCCCAAACAGTTCTAAAGTCCAGGAAGAAATAGCAAGGGGTCAGTGTATTTGAGGAACGTCCTCTTTCCAATTACCTCTGCCTGATTCGTCTGGTCTGGGTTGTGTCTGCTAAGGAGCTACGTCTAGTAAGTGCCAGGTCTTTTTTGTTGTGGCACCCACCATGTGGGATATCATTCCCTCCACCACCAACCCAAGATTGCACTCATCCTTGAAGTCCTTCTGGAACTCCCACAAAACTTGGTTATGTCAACCAGCCTGGGGGGGGGGGAGCGGGGAACGGCGTTTCATGGAAATGGGGATTTAATAAGGTGGCTGTATTCTAGGCAACATCTAATAGACTCTCTTAGTCCTTCAATTTTTATAACATTAATGTTTTAACTCTAGAGGACTTTTTGTAATCATAGTTTTTATGGTCTTATTCCACGTCACCCAGAGCCATCTTTTGAGAAAGCCGGGGGGAGGAGATATAAATGGGATATATAGATAAATAAATAAATAAATGCCACCTGTAAATGGAGCTTTTTAAAATCACAAGGGCCCCCCCCACTATCCACAGAGGCTTTATTCTTGACTCTTGAGAACATAACAAGGGCATAAAGAAAAACGCTTTAAGCATCTGCCAAACACATGCATATTTTTTTTTTTTGCACATGCGTACAGATGGGCTAAAATCGCAGACATGTGAGATACCAAAGTCCAGGCTTTGTTTTAGGAACCTTGGAAATGCAAAACTCTAGATAATGAAGGTCTCCTGCATATTTTTCCCAAACACTACAAAGTAGGAAAAATACAACATTCCGAATTAATGATTGGCTTATTAGCGTTTCGGTATTCAAGATATTCTTGATGGAACCAGGGTTGTCTCACGGGTAAAGTAATTGGTAGCTTTCCCTTACATGTAACTCTAAAATCCCTCAAGGCCAGATGCCAATTTAGAGAGAGAAATCTCAAAAAATAATCCTAAGTATTTGTTTGTGTTTGGCTTTTTACAAGATGCACCAAATGATGCGTACTTAAAAAATTGGTTGCTCACTTTCTGCTGATATATTTAGAGTTTTTATATGAGGGATTAAGAGTGGAAAAAAAGTTTCTGCTAGTCCCCCCATAAATCAGTCCTAGGAGAAGACAAGCATTCCGATTTGCTAATACATATATTTTTTTTCCTTCCCTAATAGAAGAGAGAATTAGATATTTGCTACTTCTACCAGCTAGGCTGCACAATAAATCAGATAATGCCAAGTTGTTGAATCATAGCAGAATAAAATCCAAACCATAACAGAATCTCATTTAGTCTCTGCTTATAACATAGCCATCTGTTCAGGATCCCATGCAATTTATTTATCCATTTATTTATTCCAAAGTTCTAAATGAAGTTTCTTTTCCTGGGCTGCTGCGCAGTCCATGCCAAAGTATAGCTGCTTTTTTTTTTTAAGTGATGGCAAACACCAGGAGGGGGAGAGGGGAAAAAAGGGAGTCCCGAAACTAAACAAAAACTTCATTTTGTATCACATTGCAGGAGACAAACCTTCTGCTTGAGGATTTAGGCA